ACACTATCAAAGCGCCGACAGCGTGGCTCTGAATTTATAAGTACTTACAATTCAACTTAGTTATTTGTTACGGAACGTATTGAAATTTTATTAGTTGTTCGCGAAAGTGTATCTTAAATATACATTTTAGAGTTTAGTTCGAAATCTATCACTTATAAACCTTATGTAATTTAACTATATTTTAATTGTAACCTATTACATGTATAGAATAGCCCTTCCTATCTGTGGGTGTCGTAAGAGACGACTAAGGTAGCTTATGGTCGAGAGATAGGCAGCGTCCTTTTTAAAATATCTCTAAAAGCTTAACTGCTGTAGCCAACCCGCCTGCCAAGCGTGACAACTACTGGCAAACCTCCCCTTATGGGGAAGGCTTATGTTCAGCAGTGGACAGTTAACGGCTGAGATAATAATAATAGTTACATATTTGCATACCATTTGATGTGGCAAAACATAATGGACATCTTGTAAACTTGACAAATGCAACATCTTATCTACAATGTTTCTGGCAAATAAAATTTTATTTCATTCACTTTATATTTATAAGTTACTAAATACCACATGTTAGTACATGAAGTGTTTTGAAAACAAACTATAGTATAATTACTATATTTTGTTTAAACAAAACTTAATAAAAATGGAAACAATCTAATAATTAACTCAACTATAAGATTCTGTAACTGATGTTCAATAACTTGTTCAATGAATTGTACGGATTGATACCTGGTGCAGATTTTCACCATCGTACAACCCGCCATAAACTAAAATTTCATCCCAACCATCTGGACGAGTGGCGGTCCTCCACCGTGCGTTTTTCAAGGCACTTTCTCCCACGCACAACCACTCTTTGGAATCAACTTCCAGCAGCAGTATTTCCGAACTGATACGACAACATAACCATCAAGAAAAGAGCATATTCCTTTTTAAAAGGCCGGCAGCACACCTGCAATGCCGTAGGTGTTGTGGGTGACCATGGGCGGCGGTAGTCACTTACCATCAGGTGAGCCGCATGCTCGTTTGCCCCCTATGTTGTAAAAAAAAATGTTCAATAATATTGCAAATAAAAATTAAATTATTGTAATAATATGTACAAATAATTATTTATTTCGCTTCCAATCTTACAAACTAAAAAAAAAACAGTTTCTGTCATTTATTTAATTTTATTTAAATACTCGTAGTTGGCAAAACTCACCAAGGGGTAGATGTATGTCCAACAGTGGACAGTTAAAGGCTGATATGGTGATAATGAATTAAATAGGCGATGCCAGAGAATACTGGCACTTGGTGGTGTTTGGAATTCATTTTTATACTCTATAGACGACGGTTACCACTTTCCTTCAGATGGGCCGTCAACTTGTTTGCCATTCTAAATTGCATAAAAAAATATGTACGTAAATTAGAAAATACTTTATTCTGTAAAAGTATGGTTTATTTCAACAGATCTTAATAAGAAGGTGACAAAGTATTGGTAAAATTATCAAATGAATGCTATCTAAGTTTATTTAAAAAATATCTTTTAATTGTAAAAAAAAAAACATTTACACATCTATGTAATGTTAAATATTTTTTTATGCAACTTAGAAGTGCAAACAAGCTGACGGCCCACCTGATGGAAACGGTAACCGTCAACTATAGACATGAGCAGTACCATGGACATAACAGAGTATACTGTTTCGCCCATGATATCCTCCACGCGTTGCCATTCCTGAGGACTCGGATGTTATTCCTCTGTACCCTGTAAATTCACTGCCATATCGCACCCTTCAAACCGAAACGCAGCCATGTGAACACAACTGCTTCACGGCAAAAACACGAATGGGACACGACTTTGTATTGCTTTGTAAACTTTGTAAATATTGCTTTGTAAACTTTGTAAATATTGCTTTGTAAACTTTGTAAATATTGCTGAACAATTGGAGTTAATTTTAAGATCTCCTACTGGCTATCATCAATATTTAGTAAATAATATTAATTTATAAATTAGTAACAAATCGAAACGTTAAATGGAAAAAAAATAAGTTGTCAGTCATCTTCTGATTTATACTACCTACTATTGGATATCAGAAGACTCATGTTTACATATTCGTGGATTTCTATTACTGACTATTTAAAACACACCATTGGCTTCCATTTTAAGATTGACTCGCCGGCACAGCTGGTCATTTATAATATTACCATCCAGTCGTCTCCATGCTCGCTCGCCGGCTTCAAAGCCTCCCCGGTATCCTATCAATTTGATGGACGCCCGTTCAGGTTGACCTTCAACAATTTTACCTTTCGATTCTTTATATAAAATACGCTTACTCAACTATCATTCATCTTTGTCATTATTCATCGATCCCTTGGTATTACAATGTACCTTTTTTCAAATCTAGTCTAAACGTCTAGGGTATAAAATTTAATAAATTTTTAATCGATTCCCGAATATAGAAAGAATTATCTAATCCTACCATACTTATCATTATTTTTTAGAGATTCACTGTACACTGTTGTACATAGGCCTTCCCCATAAAAGATAAGTTTTGTCAGTAATTGCTTGGCTACAAAACAATAGGACGGATTAATTCTAATTCTAGCGCCTTGGAATTAAAATTAAAGAAATCTGGACCTATCTCTTGTCCTTATAATTTAATAATTATTAATTTATAAGTTAATATAAGTTAACATTACAATAGTTTCGACTTAAAACTATTAAAACATGAATCCATACTAGTACCTTATAATAAATATTTTGCTGTGAAAAGGTTTTCAAACTGATAGATTGATAATTTAAAAAATCGGTTTAAAAAAAATGGTGTCTTAAAATAGCCCCCATAGTCTTTTTTTTATACAACTTAGAATGGCAAACAAGCTGACGGCCCACCTGATGGAAAGTGGTAACCGTCGCCTATAGACATGAGCAGTACCATGGATATAACAGAGTATACTGTTTCGCCCACGATACTCCCCATGCATTGCTATTCCTGAGGACTCGGGTGATATTCCTCTGTACCCTGTAGACACACGATGCTTTGTATTAAAATGAAATAATTTTCAAATCTAAAGCGACTTTGAAATACGTCGACATTACTTTCGACTAGCTTCAAAGAATATTCTCAATTAGATTAATAATTCGGTTGTACATTTATTTTTATATTTCATAACTCTGTCAGTTGTGAACCAAATTGGATTTTTTTTTATCTGAAGGATTAAAATCTTATTATAAATATAAACAATTACACGAAATAATCACAGTGAAAAAACAATAAGCGACTTTATCGCTAAAAGCGATCTCTTCCAGGCAACCTTTTGCAGTAGTTTAGTTTTTCTTTTTATCAAAATAAATGATTTTTCCACAATCGAAGTCGGTTTTTTTTTTGTGGAAAACAATTTTGTTGTAATTATATACATTTTAAATTTTACTTTACAAAAAATACAACTTCGATCCTGACATAATATATCTGTGATTGGCGAGGTTTTACTACATTTATTTTGAAAATAAATTAATAATATTTCAATTCAGTAATCGTATTTTACATTTTATTGCTCCGCGAAGAAGAAAAGACTGTTCCGACCGCCATAAAATTAATGTGGAAATAACACAGGAGTAAATCATTCGACCAACATCAATTACTGACACTGTTTTTTTTAATGGATGATTTTTTTTTATTTTAAGGGCTTTCACCTACTTCTGGTATATCAGCCCTATCGTACTGTAAACTAATTTCTCAAATAAAGCTTTATCTACTTTCCCTAGACACGGAGGAATTAATGGGTATCAATAATTTACAGAGATCTTCAAAACTTCTGATTTGGGTTCAGCTAATATAGATTGAAAAAGACCAATATGTAGTTTATTATTTAGGTTTATAAGTGTTTATAAGTGGCGCATAAATTCTTCTCTTTCTTAATGAGATCGCCTGTAACGGTAACGGTATACGCTGGCAGGGTACCAGTGAGGGATGATAGGTGAGGATGAAAAGGCAGGTCAGTTAGTCCATCGTTATGAAATTACATAGAATACAATGTTTCTAAGGAAAATCGCGAGGAGATCCAACTGACAGGGTACAACTGATAGTTCATAGCTTCTAATCCCCATTATTTACAATACATTCTCTCTCCACTCCTCTCTTATATATATATATATATATATATATATATATATATATATATATATATATATATATATATATATATATATATATATATATATGTATAAATAATAATTTTTCCATTGCTGTATTATTATAATGTTGGATTTTTTAGTCCTGTTATCACATATTGATGTGTTATCAAGTGACATGTATTATCAAGTCGCTGCACATTTTTAATGAGATGATAAGTAATGATCCCACATGCGCTATCAAAATCTTGTCATGTTTTGACGGAGACCAGAGAAGGAATATTGGTGAACACGAAGCCAGGTCAGTTGGTCCAATTCTGACGGTCAGCAGACCCATTATTGTGAATTCACTAAGAATAAATAAAGAAACAGTGGGAAGAAATTATTGACAATTATTGCAAGCAACAGCAAGTTATTTGTATTGGAAATATGTTTTTTTTTATACCACGACGGTGGTATACAAGCCTACAGCCCGTCTGATGGTAAATGATCACTGTAACTTATAGACGCCTGCAATACTAACGCATATAAAACATAACGCATATAAATATTTTTTCCGTAGTAAAAAATAATGAATTTGTTATTTGTCGACCATTATTTCTTTCAGTAAAATATTTAGTACGACTAATAGAATAAATATTCTCTCGAAATAATACCAAATATTTCGATTTCACTGTACACAAAACAAATTTTATTTTAAATATGGTCTCTTTTTATTGTTAATTCTTTTAATTTAATATTCTCACTTTCGAAATTATTTTATCCAGAAAATCTAGTTTTATTATTTATTATTTAAAAAAAATCACTTCGTAAAAAAAGTTTTCACAAACTTAAAGAGAATACGAAATCTAAAATAACAATAAACTTAAACTTAATTATGTACAACTTGAAAAGAACTTACTGCCACCACAGCAGAGACGGAACCCCCGAAATATTCACTGCAATCGGTCCACAGACTAGAAATGTACACGACCAATAAATTTCAAAGTTAATTTTTCGTATATATTACAGCGAGTCCGCATAGAGACGTGCGTTTGCTGGGGAGAGTATCGCGCGACTGAATCATACGAAGTTGATACCTCTACAGCCTTTACGGCATACTTCTATTAGTATATTGCGACTGCTTTCCCGCGATACTCAAAATCAGGGGATTGGGAGATGGGGGTTGGCTGACACTATTATTACTATGTAGTGGTAATTAATTTAGTATATTTTTTCCAACTGACTTAGGGTGAGACGGTATTTCACGCCAGAAAACCGCCTGAAACTGTATAAAGCTCAAGTGAGGCCACACATGGAATACTGTTCTCACCTGTGGGCATACATTGTTATCAATTACATTGTTATCAGACAGGCCGTCAGCTTGTTTGCCATTGTAAGAATTATACAAAAATCATATTTAATAAAATAAATTAAACTAATTTAATATTACGACGCTGAGAGATAACGGTAACATGTTGGGACAAATAACATGTGGACAGAAAAATGAATAAGCTGAAATTTTTACCAGAAGAAGACTTTGTATAAAAGTCGTTTGCTTGGGCACCTCTGCCCCATTCGTGTTTCTACCGTGAAGCAGTTGTGTTTGCATGGCTGTGTTTCGGTTTGAAGGGTGAGATATGGCAGTGAATTTACAGGGTACAGAAGAATAACACTTGAGTTCTCAGGAATAGCATGGGGGGTATCATAGGCGAAACAATATACTCTATTATGTCCATGGTACTGCTCATGTCTATAGGCGACGGTTACCACTTTCCATCAGGTGGGCCGTCAGCTTGTTTGCCATACTAAGATGCATAAAAAATATATAAGGCTTTTACACTTAGCTACGGAACATTATGAAAAGAAAATAGGCGTAGAAAAACTGGCCATTTCGCTTATACCCTAAGAAAGATAGTCTCAGCTCGACGCCTATTTCCGAATGTGCGTTCAGAAAATATATACTACACATTATCTGTATAAATAGCTACATGTAATTTTCCACCAAAACTATTATACACACAGACGATTAGTTTAGACAATTTCTATATTGTTATCTGTTTTTTTAATTTTTTTTTTTTTATACAACTTAGAACGGCAAACAAGCTGACGGCCCACCTGATGGAAAGTGGTAACCGTCGCCTAAAGACATGAGCAGTACCATGGACATAACAGAGTGTACTGTTTCGCCCATGATACCCCCATGCGTTGCCATTCCTGAGGACTCAGGTGTTATTCCTCTGTACCGAGTAAATTTAATTAACTACTGTTTTATTTATTTCATTTTGTTTTTAGACTGCCATTGGTAGTGGACAGAATACGTACTAGGATACCCTGTGTTACGGTATTCTGGTCCCCACACTCGGCCACTGGCTATACAAAGGACAGATAAGTAAACCATATTGTTAAAAGTAATTATAAAAGTCTAATAAAAATACCAATAAAATAAAATAAAAGCCGAAACCGAGAAAAAGAGAAAATATCTCGACCTGGCTCACGAGGTGACCGAAATGTGGGGGGTGACATCCACCGAAATCATTCCAATCGTTTTGTCAGTGAACGGTCTTATCCCAACCAGTCTGGAACAACATCTCAGATGGTTGTGATTCCGAGGCGGCTCACTCCCGGGAAAGATGCAGAAAGCGGTGCTCTTAGATACTGCCCGCATTGTACGCCGGTTTCTCTCCCTGTGGTCCTGAACCCCGGCCGACTGTGCTTCTGCCGGGGGTTAGTTTGCCATCTCCTTTCTTTTGGAATGGAATCCTTTCTTTGGGAGATGTGAATTTTGTAGAAATAAAATAAAAAGGCACAATATTACAAAATTAGGTCATAATAACAAGTACAAACACAGTGTCCAAAAATTTATAATATAATAGATAATCTAATAAAATGTTTAAAATTCGAAACAGTTAATGTGATAATAGTAAATATTCAGTTGATATAATTAAAATATTAATTATATGTATTTTTCAAGCATGTCAAATGTATTTATGTTACAATTTTTATTATTACAAAAATATTAATAATGTCAAATGGTAAATTAACCGAAAATAAATTAAATTAACATTTAACCAAAATAATCTTCACGTTCTGTAGCTGGTTCAAAGGTATACATAAACAATTTAATATATATATATATTTTTTTTTGTAGAAAAAAAAGAAAACAAACTTATTCATTCATGATAAAATTTAAATGACACTAAAGGAGAATTATATTTTATTCATTTCAAGAAAAATATTAAAATATATATAGAATTAGTTAAGATATGACGTTACATATATACTAAAAATGCGGTTTGCTTAAGAGTCTCGTACTTTTTAGATTAGATTTAAAATTCTTATTATTATTTTTTTTAATTTGTAAGCTACAAATTGTACTATTTTATATTATGAAAATAACAATATAGGTCGAATTTAAACTGTTAAAATTAGTTAGATAAATAAATACATACAAACAGACATACAGACATACATGCGTTCAGAAAATATATACTACACATAATATACATATACGCCTAGTTGTAATTTTCTCCCAAAACTACACACTGTCGATTAGTTTGGATAACTTTTCTTGTATTATTAATGTTATAATTTAATATTATTAAAAAAATAGTCGTATATTATTATTTCATCCGTTAACTGTCCACTGCTGGACATAAGCCTTCCCCATAAGGGGAGTTTTGCCAGTAGTTGCCACGCTTGGCAGACGGGTTGGCAACCGCAGTTAGGCGTTTAGAGATGTTTTAAGAAGGACGCTGCTGCCCATCCCTCGCCGTCCCTTAGTCGACTCTTACGACACCAACGGGAAAGGAAGGGGCCTCTTCTATACCGGGATCATACAGCGAAAATTAGTTATACTTGGGGGGAAAGGGATTGTTAATAATGGAGATTGAGAATCCCATTGCTAGCGATATACCCAACCAGGTCGACCTCCTTGCGGTTCTCCCTGGAAACTATCATGGTTAATTCCTGATGAATTCATCATGATAAGCTAACTGGCCTGTTTTCATTCTCATCTATCACCCTTCACTGGTGCTCCGCCAGCGTATCCCATTAGCGCAGGCGGGGCTACCATACCATTTTCAACCACCAAAAAAGAAATAAAAAAAATTAGTTATACTTTGAATGGAATAGACAACATCTGTCAGATTATGCCTTCTGAATAAGTAGCAAATATGGAATAATTTTGAATCGTTAATTTAAATGAGATGTCAGACGTTACTATCTCATTCCAAGTTATGGACTCGCTAACGATGACAGTACCATCAATGATTCGCTTGCTATTTATCAATAGAGTTAGCTAATCATACGATAAATTATTATTTTTACCTATAAATAAATAAATGCTCGCTTGTAATTTGTACTCCTTTCCACTCAGGGTTTGCTAGAAGAGAACTCTTGCAGAGTTTTTTAATGGGTGATAATGGAATGTTAACCCCACCCGCGCTATCGGTATACACCGGCGGATCACCAGTGAAGGATGATAGATGAGGATGAAGCAAGTCAGTAAGCCCATCGTGACGAATTCAATAAGAATTGTTCACGATGGTTACCAGGGGGAAACACGTGGAGTTCGACCTAATAGGGTGTATTGCTAACAATAGTGGTGTCAATCTCTGTTCCTAACAATCCCTTTCCCCCCCACTCTTGCAGAGTTAATCTCGCATTGCATTGTATATCTTTATTCATAAAAAATATTTAAATAAATTAAAACAATGTAATTTCTATATGCAATAAAGTATAAATAAATAAATAAATATAATGAACAGTGATTTTAATCCGTAATGAGAGGCATTTGATTGTTACCGTTGAGGAAAATATCCACTTTTCACCGAGCTTAACGTACCTATTACATCGGGAATATTAAAATTCAACTAAGAAGTTGGCGAATCGCCGTTGCTCGGATTTATTTTTATAATTAATTTGATTTGTTATTGATAATTTATATCATGTAAGTGAAGTAAAAAATTCTAATATTTTATCTTCGAAAAAGTCACATAATTTATTTATTTAACTCTTTATTGCACCAAAAAAATAAACAAAAAAATAAACAATGCCATATAAACAATTCAACTGAAATACAGTAACATGAAGTACTGGTTAAAATAAACATATAAAGGTACAAAAGGTCTTACCGCTAAGGCAATCTCTTACAGACAACCTTTGGTTAAAGGAGAACATATAGAAATGGGTAGGTGGCGCAAGAGTGAATTAATGTTTTTTACATATAATGCATAAAAATATTAAATACATATTATTTATTAGACTACTTATTATAACAAATAATATATAATACATATACATACACATATATACATAGCACACACTAGGAAATACGACGAATCTAGTAAAACGAAATAAAGAAATAAAATAAGAAAGGAAAAGAGTAACTACAGTGAAAGAAAATGTAATTTGACTTGTCCTTTAAACGAAGCTTAAGACTGAGCGTTCCGTATAGAGGGCGGTAGTGGGTTCCATAGGCGCACAGCTTGAATGGAGAAGATTTGGTGTAAGACACGGAGGTATATGAAGGGGTATTTAAGCGAAGGTTATTCGAGGTACGCGAAGCATGACTTTGCACGTCACCGAGAAATATAAATCGCTCTTCGAGTTAAGGTATTTTGTAACACTCTCGTGTATTTGTCTGAATAAGTTGTCCAAACTAATCGCTCGTATGTAACATGCAGACATTCATGTCATTTCGCCCGAACGTCTAATTTCCGCAAAGCGTTCCGGACTCCTCATTTATTTAATGTGTTCGTCTGTCCAAGTGTTTTGTAAACAACACTGAAACATGTATAATTGAGTGTAAGGAGTTACATTCTCAGTTCGTAATAATGTCAAGTGAATAAAAAGATTCAGAAACTTACCTCAAATTTTATTTATTTGTTTCTACCGTGAAGCAGTTGTGTTTGCATGGCTGTGTTTCAGTTTGAAGGGTGGGATAAGGCGTGAATTTACTGGGTACGGAGGAATAACACCTAAGTCCTCAGGAATGGCAACGTATGGGGGATATCATGGGCGAAACACCATCCATAATACTGCTCATGTCTGTAGGTGACGATTA